TTTCTTGCCTTTTTTTTTTCGCTTTGCAGAACTGGAAGTTAAAATGTTGATTTTCAGATCTGCTGGGCAGTCATTTCCTGTTTAAGAATGCATCGATTTTGTTATTATTACTTCTCCTCAAGTATTTTTTGCGTCAATTTCTAATAAATAAGAAGGTATACATTGTACGTTATTGCGAACCGCTTCATATTATGCCTTTGAAGGCAATGCTTACAAAGAATTATAAATGATTATTATGTGACATGAAAGAGAGAAATGTTTATGATTTATTTGCATAAACTTATAATAGATTAATAACTATATGAATAAGCCAAAAGATTGCAAGGAATCGTAAACTCGGTTTGTACAAATAAAGAATTTGCCTATTATGACTATTTGTGTTATGTATTAGTTTATAACAATCTATAGTGTGTCACTGCATGTCACATAATCAACTCATCGGTTTCAATCAATATCACGGAAACCAATTACTCAAATATTTTACGATATCCCTTTAAATACGAAGGTTTTCTCTTAGCCAGAAAAGATCAAGAAATTATATTCATTCCGTCTGTTTCATAAGTCTCTTAAAAAAGGTCACCAAAATTTATTTATTTATGGTTTAAGACTGACTTTGATTAATGGTTGTAAATACGAGACAAAGACCAAATATTGAGTAATTCAAAGAAATTATAAGATGTACAGGTCACTTAAAATTAGAAAAACAATGTATATTGACACGAAAAATAAATAAATGTTTGTTCACTTGTCATTTAGATAACTATCTATTCTCGTTTATATCGTACATTTATGTGTGTCTTGTTTTCGACTTGAATATCACTTTGGTATCTTTCGCCTCTCTTTTATGCGAGTGTGGGTGCTAACTGATAAGTTTTGTATGCATGTGTGTATGTGTATGTGTCTGGTGTTAATACATATAGGTTTGTTTTCATATCTGTTTGTATGCATATTTCTGTACCATTGTAACTTATGGTTTGTTAGAACAACGATTATGTATGTATGTATGTATTTAAGAATTGAATGTGCTTATTTTAATAATTTTATTGGGGTGTAAAAGCGTTGACCGAAGCACATTTTGTATGAAGCGCGGAGATACTTCATATTAAAAATGTGCGCACGATCAACTCTTTTACAGTCCTATAAAATTATAAAAAGAAGCATTCAATTTTTTCTAATTACATTTTATGCTACAACCGTGAATTAAGAGCTGAATCAAGTTTTTCGTTTGTTTTTCAGTGCATTATTTTAACATTCGCACGTTTCTATGTATGTTGGCGTTTGTTTTGGTTGCAGTTCAGTGTTTCCCTGGGTTTTAGTTTGTTACCCGGATTTGTTTTCTCCTAATCGATTTATGACTTTTGAACAGCGGTACACTACTGTTGTCTATATATAGCACGTGCAGTCACAGATGTTGTATTCTATAACGAAATAAAATATGATATTGGAGTGTTGTCACCAAACCAAAATTACGGGTTCTAATGAAACATACATAAAATGTAATTATAGGAACAAACAAAACTGTAAACCAACTAACTTATTAAAACGACTGTGTATTATGAGATTTCTATTCTTCGAATTTTTGTTTAAAAAAAACTACAATTTCATTTTCCAAAAGAAGCTTTTTTTTCATAAAATTAACAGAAAGCCTTTTAAAAATAAATTCGTTTAAATATATTATGTAACAGCTTTGTATATTTCTAGTGCAAAGAATATTCAATTACTTTTGCCAGTAGCCTTTTTTCTTTTCTTTTGATACGGTTGTTAACGAGTTTACGTTATAGTATTCAAGTGAAAAAAATAGCATATTAAATCATATGTAAATGCTCTCATAATATCTTTCTTAATTTGCAATGAATATCCGAATTTACTATTTATTTGGATTTGTTAGAAACAGCTGTCCGGTAATTGTATTATATCTGTGACAGTAGTTGCTATTTAAAACTAAACTCAAACGAAAAGGTTTGTGTTCTTGTTGAAAAAAATGTTAATCGTGTATAATTGGAATGTCAGTCACTTCTTTATAGGGCTGTTGAGGAATTGTCAATTTTAACAGTACTTTTCTTGATACCGATTTCATTGTTGAAAATTATGCAATACTACAGACGGATCCGTCATATACGCTACAGCTGCTTTTTTCTCGTTAAAACCAAATTTGGAGACTGTTGACAATTGCTGAACTTAGGAAATTTGAATTCATTTTTAGGTTGGCAATAACAGTAAGGATATTATATTAACTGACTATTTAGAAACATGTGTACCATAAGTTAAATTACAACACTTGGAAGAGATGAGGGATGTGACATTGTTTAGCACTAGGGTTATTTAGAACTAATAACCTTTTAATAAGTTTTGCATCTGAATCTTTCCTCTTTGATGAAAAATAACAAGTCGATGAAATTATAATCATACCAACTTATCTATTTACAGAAACAAACACAAAACAAGGAAACACATAAGGATTGAAATGGATAAAAAAAAGCAAATCTCCCAATTATACGACTATTTTCTATTTGCATTTTTGACGAATATGTAGGCTCAAATTGATCGTAACAAGTACCAATGTAGATTGTGTAATTTATGTACTAGTGGGAGCTTTGATTCAATAAGTCCTAGGTAACTTTTCTGTTGGAAAGTGCATGTTGTATTTGATTTATTCGATCGGAATATACATTGTAATATTTCCATTGACTTTGACTGTTTTTAGAGTCTCTATATATAAATTAAGACCACAATTTATTTTTTATTCTCACAATATGTTTGTATTTTATGTCTATATAAGTATGAAATACTTAGTTGTATTTGGTCTTGTCACTTAGGAATACAGCTTATTTTGTAAAAAGGTTCTTTGTTTTATTTTCATTTAAATAGCTAAGCATACATTCAAGATACGGTATTAAAAAAAACTTGACAAATTAAAAAATTAGAAAATTATTACAAACTATTGTATTTGATTGTTTCTTTACTTGTACAAACCGAGTTCACGATTCCTGGCAAAAACCGGTTTTACATTTCGTTAAAATTCAAATATAAGTATCAAATATGTCATTTTTCTTAATGCAAAAAATGGTGAAATTATACAATACACAATGTGACATGGCTATATATCATCCATATACTGTAAGCATTTTGATTCACATTTCTAATATCATTGAAAAAGATTTAATACAAATCAAAAATGTGTGAAGACGATGACATGGCACACTGTTACAGTTACTGTAGTAATTACAGGTATAATTTGTGTTTTCGTAGCATGAAAGCGTCAGATACATAAGCAATTCACAATTTAAAGATACATAGAAATTGTCTTACATTAAACATAATACAAAAACAGTAAATAACCTCTAATGTCTTCTAAACTTCAAAGTAGTATATAAAAACATAAGCTCACAGTTACTGAGGAAAATTGATAGAAAAAATACATCTGGGTTGATGAACAATAATAAAATTACTGACATAATTCCTCACCTAATGGACGATCTTTCCACGGTGCCGACTAGCGCATCGCTTGATTAAGTCTTTAAAAGTTTCTATCAGTGTAAGTCTCTTAGACAAAGTTCAACACCTTACACATCCAAAATAAACAAAAAAATAAGTTGTGTTCTACGGAACAGATTGCGCTATATCTTGTTAACAAAAACAAATTTAAATGAGAAAATATTGAATTTTCGAAGCAAACTTCAAATTCATGACCTCATTGACAACAAACGACTTATTTATGAAAACATTATTGAAATATTGAAATTTATTTGAAGTGTACGGTAAAATATCCCTTAGAACGAAAAAGACAGAATATTATGAAAAATCGACTTTATTGTCTAATCAAAAAATCAAGAGCGTTGTTCGTCGAAACAAAGAAGTTATAACATATGATGTATAATAATGATTTCCCCCTTCTTACTCGATAAGTGTTTTTTATATTCACCGGATTTTATTTGTAAAAATATTTACTGCATTGATGAATAATGAACAATCAAAATGATAGAATTGAAATAAATAGAAATAACATTGACAAAAATCCCGTGACTCAATGTTGATACAAGATTGAAGTTTGTCAATTTTGAATGTAAAGGAAGACCAAATCTAACAGATGAAATGTAAAAAATTGACGTTTGCATGTGAAGTTACTGATTGAAACGTATATCAACAACAATCGCAATCGTCGACAACGACGTCTCAGTTGTCTGTTTACACCAAGACATCTTATCATTCCCTCATTCGCCTCAATATGTGCTTTTGGATGTATGTGCTTTTGTAACTTGATATACAACTGCTATCACAAACTTAAATGTTTTTCGTGCACCGATTTCCATGACATCTTGTTTTATGTACCTTTTGAATAAATGTTTAATTCAATCTTCACGTAAAACATAAGGTATCTTCACGTCTCGTATCATTCATAGCAAACACAATTAATAAAAACAATATTGAACTATCATATAAAAAATCCTTATGTTTGTCTGTTTAACTTCAAATAAAACTTTGAACTTGAACCTGCTCGAAATTGCTTATTTCAAAAAAAAAATCGCACGATATAGAAATTATACACTCTTACACTTTAATATCGGCTGCTGTACATATAAATAAAAACATACAGTAACGTTATTAAGAAATACGCAAAACCGAAGTAAAATTGTGAAATATGGCGATTCAGTAGAGAAAAATTTAAGGCAATATTTCAGTCCAGTTTATAATAAAATGTAAATAATAGAATTAATTTTCATCTCAAAATCAAAGACGCAAGAATTTAAAATAGATTTGAAATATGTTTAATATTGATAAAAAAAATCAGGCAGGTTATCTTTATTAAGGAAATTTATAAAAAAGTTCAACTTACTAATGTTTATTTTCCTAGCATCCACCATTTACTTATGATATATATCAAAATTTACGTAAAGATATACACGACGTAAGATTTTGAGGTAACTCAAAATTTGTTAAATATGTCATTATCAATATATGATTAAATTATCCATATCAGGAAAATAAAAGGTTCAACTTACTAATGTCCATTTCACTATTAATCCGTCATGTACTTACAATATAAATCCAATAATGTTCCTTCATTACATCTTTGTATTGGAATTCTCACTAATAACAGAGCATCGTCGCTACAATACAAGCACTTAAAGCTAGTTTTTCAATAAAGCCAATATCTGTAAGCATGAAAGACTCTCCGTTTCTGTTATTGGTATGCTAAGCATAAATTTGTCGAGGCTAACCTATAATGAACTTGTCAATAGATGAAAACAATTGCGTCATTTTCGTAAGGCCAAACTGAAATGGAACATCTATGTTTCTCTCGGCGACCATAAAGTTTTCGAATAAAGATTTCTGAGATAATTATTTGTTACTCCGAAATACGACAATGATACCAAATGGAGCTAGTATGCGGTTGTGTGATTTAGTAAGAAATATTATATGTTTTAATGATCACTTTGTACTTTTAGAACTTATTTGTTTTGTCATTTAATAAGGATTGTAAAGACATATATGTATGAATATAGCGTTCATTTCCTATTTGTTTTCATTCTTTTGTTACTACATTTTACAAGTTGTATACTTTTGTTGGAACAGAGAGTTTCTAACTTAATCGGTTAAAATTTAACATAGCCTGTTTCCGCTGCTCTGTAATGGTTTTTTTCTCACTCTTTTCCCTTAATGTTGCTGTTATTTTTCCTTTTCTCACTTTAGGCAATGGGCAAAGCTGATGTCGGTTAAATTTGAGAAAGCTTAGGTTTTACAAATAATAAAAATTAACAAAAAGACAAACTAATATGAAACAAAAGTAAGCATGATTGACTCTTTACGACAAGTACTGATGATTTCCACAGAACTTCTGGTGGATAGTTGGCTTAAAATTAAATAATTCGTTTGAGAATAAATAAGCATGACAAACTTTACTTCCATTTTCAATTATAGTTCTGGCGGGTGTCATTTTATCTCTCCGGTTTTTAGATTGGTTTCCTATTGCTCAATCATCTGTGTATTATTTTGTTGAAATTGTGATCCGTCCTTTTATTTGTTTTTTTTTTTGGTCATGTTTCTGTCTTTCTTGGACTTATGGTTTTTGAATGGCCCCTTGTTATTTTGATAAAAATATAGAGTATTTATCTTATTTTCTCCAATGAAACAATAATTTAAATAAATAACTAACCTATACTCATTTGAATATCATTGAACCTATTGAATGACAAAGACGGACATCATGGTCGAAGGTAAGAAAGACAAAAGTACAAACAACAGTCAAAACATGACAGCCTTTGTTTATTTGATATTTTATCATATGTAGACAAAACTTTCGAAAATATAGGGTTCCAACATGGTAAAATCAAAAATAAATTACGCGATGCATAAATTACATCAAATCTAAAAAAAAAAAATTAAAAAAAACCTGAATTCGTGTTGCATCGAACAACCTCGTAAATTAATTTTCTACATAGCGCATAAAACGTCACGTGGTTTTGTCATGTTTTTTCGAATTTGATTATTTAGTATTTCTATATGAAACACAACATAAAGCAAAACAGTGCATCTTATAAGAGTATCAGTGAGGTAGATAGTTCTAAAAGAATTCGGCGTTTTACTTTTGACAATTTCAATGGTAATAAAATAGTTGCTCTTATTGCACATCTTCCTTGTTATATGAAACAATTTTCATTATCTTTACACCGAAAGGGGGACTTTGATATAGAAATATGGTCACCTTTGTCTTCTTCCTTCCACCAGTAAAACCCTCGCTTTGATGTACAGGAAGTGGAAATTCGCAGCCAGCTTTGGTCAGATGGTGACGTTTAATCCGCTTCCTCGTGTCACGCTCTCTGTACGTTAAAAACATATTGCAATAACTCTTTGAGGGTAATGTAGTGGCATGTCATAAGGCAAAATTTCTACCCCTTATCCAACATACCATTTTCTTCCAGTGGCAGTCTAAATTTCCATCCTTTCATCTTTGAGGTACCACACTGCAAATCCTACATATTGTATATATAAAATCAATAAATCATTCACTATCGTGAAACCAGTAATAGGGAACGAAGTGCCACCATGCATACACAACTATCTAAGAAATACTTTTATATTCGAAGGCCTTCAATGATATACGAACGCCAGCTAAATTATAAAAATAAGCATTTATTAATGAAGAATTTTCATGTTTATCATAATGACCCATTAACACATTTTAACAGGATAACAGGACGGCTGTCACTAGATGTTCAGGGACAGCTTACCCTTACGGAGCACCTAAATTCACCCATGCTTTTTGATGTGGTAAGTATTGCTCAATTTGAGTTTTCTATTTTGTGTTTTGTGGACTTGTTTTTTTTCCTGTCCTTCTTTTCTTTGGTCACTGTGTTATCTGTTTTTCTTTAACTTGTGATGTTTAATTGCCCTTTGTATTTGCTCCCCTTTTGTATCCTAATTAATTTCTTTCATGCAATCTGTACCTCACAATTCATTGAAAATAGTTCTGCAGGCTTGAATATTTGTCATCTCGATACAAAGAATATGATTGATTACCCTGTGTATGTTTCCTATTTGTATTCATAAAATTCTTACAATAATAAACGTTTTACCAATTAAATTGATATTCATTATTTGCAAAACAAAATGTTTGTCCTCCGAGGATTTTTAAGTAATGGCAGTTTTGTGTTAAATTACTTTTGTCATTTGATTGATAAAACTGATTTTTAGATCTGCTACGCGTGAATAATTATTTAAAAAAAAAACCTTGAAAAACAATAAAATTGAGAATGGAAATGGGGAATGTGTCAAAGAGACAACAACCCGACCATAGAACTAAAGAACCCATAGATATTCTGTTTTCTTAATTGTATTAGCGTTAAACCAGTACATTAGTTCTAAGACTATTGTTCTAAAATATTTGATGATTGCATAATGAGTTAAACATCTGCGTGTTATATTTGTATTATATAATACTGTTTACAAGAAAGTGATTAATAGTTCTTTCAGAGTACAACAATTAAATAAAATTATTGTTGGCCTGCTTGACTTACCAACCACAAATTTCGTTATCTTATCTCGGCTCCTGATCTCGTTTTTTTAAACGTGTGTTCGAAAATTTCTACATGCTATTTGTTTTAAACTTTTACGACCGACCTTGTTAGACTTTTGTTAGATTCAGTAATTTCGCGATCTTGTTTTAATAAAGTTTTTATACAGAAATGCGCTTCGAACGCATATAATTGATAAAGTGCTGTTTTCATTTTGTGATGTATTGATTTTGAAAAAAATGTACAATTTTATGTTCTTGGCAAAAAATGAACGATACAGTGTTTTGCAAATATCAAATGTGCTATGAATAAACATTGAACTATGATTTTTTTTTTCAAAAATAAACACAAAGAGTTAAAGGCTATCATGAAATGCAACATAATAGAAACAAACACCAAGATATCTAAAATACAAAAGTAGATTGATTACACTGGATAATGTCCAAACCCCGTTCACATGTGATCGTATAGGTAGACAAGAAGGGATAGTGGCCGTTTAGGCTTAAAAAAATACACCCATGCTACTCGTCGACATGTTTTCCATGTGATTTGCTCCGTAGAAAGCGTTTGGATAGAAGTAAAAACAAAAACAAAAAACACAATGCCCTGAACAAAGTTAATTGTCCGTCTGATTCTCCTGTACGTATGTTTGATTTATTTGAACATTATTTTGATCAGGCGGCAGGTACAGAAATCGCTGATTCTATTGTAATTCTAAGCTATTTCAATGAGGACCAAAGAGCAGGATTCAAGAACTAAAACATGATATTATTCTGTCAAGATACAATGTGTCACAGTTTGTAACATTTCACTGAAACATTAAAATGTTTGCCTACGATACTATTTATGCGGTTGCAGAAAAACCGATTGTTTTCTAGTTCAGTTGAATTTTGATTTAGACAAAAGCTAACTAGTATAATTTTAATTCAAAGAGAATGTGGACATTATAGACACGTCGTTAAAACATCATAAACCTATATAAAATACTAATGTTTAACTAGGCTGGGATAAGATACCTGTACTTTCTGTCTCCAACTACCAAATTTTAAAATTACCAATACATTATAATTCAATTTTAAAAAACAACATAAACTTTAATTGTTTCACATAATGATTTATCATGAGACTCCTGCCTATCTTTCAGATCAATTCCCGATAGATTTCAAGATATGCACTTCTATAGTAATTGAACCTGTCCCAACACGAACGATTTTCACTTGCATAGCTTTAGCCCATCTACCATAAAACTCTGGAATGATCTCCCGTAAAATATCAAATACAACAAGTTTTTCAGTCATATAAAAACATTTACGAAAACAATTTTTTGGTTTCATCATATTATTAAAAAGGTAGTAGGATTTGTCAAATTTTACATTCGCGACTTCCCACTGAAAGTATTTATCAGAAAGACCATTTATTCAAACAGAATCTAGATACAAGATCTTTTTTGTCGTTGCATAAAATTCGAATCTTTTCTTGCTTACATGTTCATTATACACAAATCTGCGTAATTAACTATTTGCTAACCTTGTTAGAAACCAGCATATAAATAGCTTGCTATTTGGTAACTGAATCATAATATGTCGTATACTGAAAATTGTAACTTTTTGTTTTTACAAGACTTTATTTTGAAGTCGAAAATATTTGTAAACTAAGTTTTAAGAAACCAGTATGCTCGTTTGTTGTGCATAGTATTGTGTTGTTTTGTAATTTTAGTAGATACTGTATTACTCAGACGCTATGCTCATATCGTCTGGTTTCCACCAAGACTTTTAAACTCTTTGGTAAATTACTCTATTTGCAAAACATTACTTTGAAATGGGAAAGAAATTTGTATGAGTGGTTATCCACTTGTTTTCCAATCCCTGTAGTGAATAGTATTTTGTATTCATACATGTATTTCTAAAATAAAATATTTTAATAGAATTTCGTTGCCATATCTACGACTATCTTATATAATCTAAATAGGATCTGTTTCTAAGCTCAACAAAAACATCAATCTGTAATAATAAAACAAATCATCATTAGGCATGATATTTCAAAATTTGAAATCCGTTTAAACCAAACCTTTCAGTCTGTCTGTAAAAGAAAAGGAAACAGTAAAATACATTTGGTTAAAATATCAATAATTTTTACAAGTGACTACACCATTTTAACTCAAT